ACAGGTATCTCCAGTACGGTGGTATCAGCTGTGAAGTGTATTCATCTCCAGTGGCAGGAGACAATTTGAGCTGAATTTTGGAACAGGACACAGGCTCGCAGGTATTGTTACTCACAACAGTCGCTGTGGAAGTAGCTCTCTGAAACATACACCTGAGGGCACCTCCGAGCCATTTCCACACCTAGTTTTGTGGGTTTAGGAATGTGTAGAACATGGCTTATGCTGCTCTCCTTGCTTGCTGGAGGTACGTATCAAAACTTCCCTTGGTGCCTTAGGTGGAGGAGACAGACAGTTGATGAATCCATCAGCAATGCTGGTATGCCCACGCTGTGTAGAGCACAACAGACCCCGTAGTGAGTATTCTGCTGAAACGCACACCTGCAGGGCATCCGGGTGCAGATATGCCACACCATGCTATGCAACACGCTTTTCTTTCCCCTTTATAGTCATTAGCCTCTTATTTTCCTTTTCAAAGGTAAATAGGCCAAACATGCTCTATTACAATAGTCTCATTTGCATGTATTTTTCTTCTTTTCTTTTGCATTATATTTTTCTTCTTCAGGTAACTCTCTCCCCATTACACTGGATAGCCTAGCTAACTGATACCTCTGCACCTTCAACTTTCATAATGAAACACTAAAAGTAGTTAGCAGCTCAAATTACTCTCCCTGCCCAGTCCCACTTCACTTGTCATTCCCACCAGCAAGCACTAGATAAAGATAAAATGATGAACAGTCCTGTAGGGAGTTCAGGAAGATTCATCAGCTCAAAACTTTACAGGCAAAAATTCTGATGTACCCATCAGTCTTCAGTAATCATCTTCCGGATGTGTTTTCTGTGTCGTTTAGCGATGTTATGTACTTAAGTGACTTGAGACAGTTCTGCACATAGTGCATGTTAAATATAGTGATGCATTTTGACACTTCCTAAATGGGTGTTACAACTTCATGGTCCATTCAAGAAGGAAGCCGCCCCAAGCCAGCCAACAGAACAAACTTGTTCTGTCAGTGAATTCCTTAGCAGTTCGTGGGCTATGAGTGCAGGTAACTGCAGTTGTTCCTTGTCAGAGATGTAGTATTTTTTTCTTAATTTCAGAAGTAATTTCAGGTCACGCCATTGCTTGTAAGAAACTTCAGAGTGAAAGGATGTTTACTTTCCTTTTTGAGCATCCCTTAGTCCTTGTCTGTAATTAACAGGGTTTGAGTTGGTCATCCCCTAATAGAGGCAGGGATCTATTCAAATGCAAGCACTTTCACTGGTATGGCTGAGCCATCTTCTATTAACAGGATTCACTATGAAATATTTTATAGTATCAGATTAGCTCATTATTGAGCAGTTTTACAGAAGCAATTTCTTCCTCCCGAGATCTTTTCTTTTACATAACTGTACTGGCAGACCTCCTTTATGCTTTTTATATATATATTTATATATCAAAGCTCTATAAATTTAGCTAAATCTTTTTCTGAGAAAATTATCCAGATGATTGCAACCTCACATAACTAGATTGCTCTATAAAAAACATCAGTTCGATAGCACTCACAAAAAGCAGAATCAACTGTTACAGATTACTGGGAAAGGAAAGTGCAGGAGGGGGAAAGAGAGACAGGAGGTCTACAAAAGTGCAGGGAGCACAGAAATGTTGGAAAGGGATTAATCTCTCTGAAACAAGAACAAAGAGTCACCAAATCAGCAGAAGCCACATTCAAAAAACAAGAGAGGTTCATGAAGCAAGTGGTAACTCATGGGAATTCCTTTCCAACTGAAACTAAGACAAGTCTACAGAGATTCCAAAGACCGTCCAAGCCTGCGGATAAAAGGAGAACTTTGAGCATCACCATACAACCAACTCACACCATGCCCAGGAAAGCCCCTGAGGTGACTTATCTAAAGACTATGGAGAGGAATCTTTACATTTGACTGATTTTCTGGGCAACCCGTAGATCCGGCACGTCTGGAGACAGATTTAGGTAGGTGAGCTTTTGGTCTGAACCAAACCATCCATTTATTTGTTCTGTCAGACTGGCAGAACAGATCTCCATTTCACTTCCCTCCTTCAATGGCTAGCCAGGAGTACATAAAGCACAAGCAGCTACAGCTCAAGCTGAAAATACAGAAGGCATCAGGTGCTACAGATGAATTGGCAGTTTTCAGAATTTGTAATCTGCAGGCTGAAGCACCCATTGCTTTGTGCCTCCCAAAACAATTAAAACGCATTGTCATCTTAAAAAGTCTTTAAAATAGGACTCTAAGTTGCTCAGGAACTAAATCAACGCACATCATGTGCCCAAACCCTTGATTAGCTTCTATGCTGCTTCATTTCAAAGTTTCATTTTAAAGAATAAGTGTGGAATATAAGTGCTTCCTTCTATGGTTCCTTGATTGCCAGTAGGCCTGAATTAAGGCAATCTCCTCTAGTTCTTAAATTTCCTTCTGCTCCTGGAAAGAAGAAAGTATAGTAACCTGGCTTCAACTTACTCTAGAAAGCAACCATTTAAAAAAAAAAAAAATCCCTTGATGAATAGGATGTAGCAATAATCTTACATAGCTAACTCCCGATTACAGCTAAGAAATAACTACATGTAGACACAGCTTAAGGAGAGGAGAGTTGGGTTTGTTGGTGAGGGTTTGGTGGTTTGTTTTTCAGGTCTGCTTTTGAAAAGCAGCTGAATACTAAGACAGGCATTGGAAACAAAACAGCTGCTTTGAGCAAAAGAGGAAATCTCTCCTTTGAGAGAAAGAATGCCCACATCTATGCCCTATGCTAAGGGAGAATTCTTTCAAGTGTGTCACTGTATCCAAGATAGATAGGATGGAAGTTGATTTTTTTAAAAAAACAAAAAAAACCCCAAACAACCCAAACACACAAAACCCAAAAAACCAACCACCAAAACCCATACAGAACCCAGAGAAGCCATTAAAATAGATATTAAGTTGGCATGTTTATGAACTACGTAGTGTGTGCCTTTGGGAGAGATCAAAGTAATCCCAGATTGAAGGGGTTCAAATCCTGATATACTGTGGCTGTAATCAATTTCTGAACATTTCCACAAGCAACAACTGTTGCAGGGTTTTTTTTCTTCTTTGGTTTAGTTTGGGGTTTTTTTGTTTGTGTGTTTTTTCTATCATGAACAGTCTTTTGAAGACTAAGACTTAAATATTCATATTGGTGTGGGAGAAAGCTTACTTGTATTAACAAACACTGGAATAAGAGGTTAGAGATATCACATGATCGTGATTTACATAGAGACAAGTGGTCATGAAATCTATCAAGTGAAAAATATTATTTGGAGACAATTTAACACACATGTGTAGAGACTGAATAAATGCACAGAATTCAAAGATTTTTCTTCTCTTTATTTAAACACAAATACATTTACAGCATGCAAGTAAGTTAGAACTATATGGCGTCTTCCCCAAACCAATCATTTTAATGCATCTTAAGTGTACTGAAGTTAAATCATATTCCACAGGTAGACTTGTCCTCTCATGTCAAATTTAGAGTTACACACAGTAGTGAGTCAACATTTAAGTTATGTAAATAATTTAGTTGTTCACCAGAAATAAATATTATTTCACCAAGTTCCTACCCTAAACCATCTTTTAAAAAAATATGATCTAGAGGAACATAAAAATAAGAACCATTCAAATACTGCAAGCTGAAACAGCAGTGTTGAACATTCCCCATATAGACTGAATATTTTAATTTACAAAAAACAGTAATTGTCTTGTCTGGCTGACCTATGACAGCCAAACCAGAAAAAGTTTTTTTTTTTCTTTTCTTTTTTTCTTTTTTTTTTTTACATTTTTAAGAGGCAGTTCTTGGTAAACTTCATAAGAGGTTTAAAATAAAAAAAAAGTTTAAATATAAAAAGGTGATGTACACTGAGCTACAGGCTAGTAACTTTTTTCTTTTTTTTTTCCTTTTTTTTCTTCTTTTTTTTTTTTTTTTTAAAACACAGCAATTTTCAGCACCAAAACCCATGATAATTACCTACAGGAATGAAACCCCCATTCACAGGCATGAGAAAAAATCCTGCTTCATTTGAATGTACTTAAAGAAAGTGGGTTTTTTTGTTTTTATGATTGCATATTAACAAATGAAGGTCTGAAAACCTGTAGATAACATTAAGATAACGGATAGTGCTGTTTCCATTATGAGAAATTTCATTCAAAATAGCTTTCTGTTCCTTTATTTTTCTGTCCTCAGCGTGCTGTCTTTAATCGTGCTCTAAAACTGCAAATTTGGAGTGTTTAGCAGCCTTAATGAACAAAACAGTCTTAAAAGCTGAAAACTCCAAAATGGTGAGATTTCCGACTGATACACTCAACCTTTAAAAATCAAACTATTAAAAATTCAGACTACTGCAGATATAGAAAAAAGTGGTTCAAGGTCTAAAATCTGACTACACTCCATCCTAATATAAATATTTTATCTATTTATAATATAAAAGTTGAAAATTATTTGCTGTCTGAACAGTCATAGAGTCTCTACTGATTCCACAATAACTGATGAATACCCAGCAAAAAATTCAAGCCAGCACACAAAGTGGTACCAACTGGGCCTGGAAAGCTAAACCAATTCTTTCAGTAATGTGAAGTTCCTTCTTTCTCAAAGACCTGGTAACTAGTTTCTATCCAGAAGAAGGCTGTTCTAAAAATTATAGTGGCTAAACCCTATGAATAAGTTAGGAAAATTATACTATAAAATTTTAAAACCCAGATTCAGCTCAGTGGGAGTATTGGAACTCAAAAACAACAACAACAAAAAAACCATTTCATTTTGTTAGCCGCTTTACAGGACTTTATTGCAAAGAGAAGGAAAATATTCAAGAACTACTACTTCGGACATTTCATATACCTACTTACAAATGGATTACAAATACAATTCAGGGTAGCACTTTAGTATTTTTTTTTAACCACGCCTCTGGGATTTCCAGATACATCAGTTTTAAAAAGTTGCCTCCTTTATTAGCATATATGAATTCATTGGCCAGTTGCTGAATTTTTAGCCAAAAATTCCAGTACTATGTATGTAGTGGAATATCAAGTTAAATTTTAGATGGTGCTCATTTCACTATTGTAAAAGAGCAAAAGTGAACCGTCACAGATACAGACAAATGGATAGACAGGCTCATCAGAATGAAGCAGAATGTTTTCACTCCACCAGACTGTACTGTGTGTAGAATCAAGAACAGGACAGATGGGATAATCCATTGCCAAAGTCTTTTTTGTAAACTGAGGTTTACTCTTATTACTGTACAATATTTAATTCTAAATTACCCGATAAACGGGCATTTAATCAGATAACAGTTAAAACAGCCTTGTTCATATTGAACTCTTTAGCTCTGTGGTGCAGCAATCGCAGTGCCTTATGGCAGTTGTCGTAAGCACACTTCAGTATTCTTACACTGTACAAATAAATTTAGTTCCAATGCTCTATGTAGCATTCCAAAAGAAAACTGTAATGTAGAGTGCCGCTCTAAATCAGTGGGACACATAGTGTTATGTGAAGTGATAAAAATGAAAGCATACTTAAACACTGTTGCACATTCCCTAAGACGATAAGATGTACACAAATTAGGCTAGAAAATTTGAACTAAGATTTTCTCAATGTACATTCAGCTTGGCACAGTGCAGACTAAATTTAAGACATGAAAGACAAACTGTGTAATGAGCAGAGCTACACTTTAAGTAACATGTCATTTTTCAAGATGCCAAAATTGCACTCTAGTTTTTTTTTGGGAATCAGTTAGCAGAATTGGTAGAAGGGGGAAGAGCTGTACAGACCAGGTATAATTTATACATTTTCAAAAAATAATCCTACAGTCCCCAAAGGGAGAGATTATTGTCATGGAATGACTCCCTCTACACGATATCCAATCCTCCTCATGCTGCACTTACTTTTCAGCAACTGTAAATGAGAAAAGTAACAGAGTTAAGTGCTTGTACCTCATAAGACAAAAAAGCTAAGTTATTTACACTTACAGTAGACCATACTCACTATTTACGTAGCCTTTAAGAGCCCAATTCTTAGACCACTCAGGTAAGTGCTAATAAAACATCTGCTTTAGAATAAGAAATGACTCAATGCAAAGCATTTAAGCAATGCTGTCTGTTACCAACAAATTTACAGCATGATGAACTGACTGGGTATCCAATCTTGATTGCCTTAACGGAGTAAACATTACAACACAAACCAATTATAACCCAGCTCCATTTCCCATGACTGTTGCTACTTTTCCAGGCCAGTAAGAACTGTCTGGATACCACCAACCAGCTGCTGCAATGTTTTGACTTTGCTGTTTTGGGAAGATGAAATGGGAATGAAGAGATCATTTGGCATTAATCATCCTAAATAAGTTTGATTTGCACAGGGAAATAACAGTTTACCATCTCTGTATTTCTTTAATGTTTCCAGAATAGTTTGTTAAACGGTGGTGTCCAAATGTAAAACAGTACATTATGTTCCTACTGTACCAAAAGTTCTTCTCTAACCATAAGTTCGGGTGCTTAGTATCGGTATTAATCCTCAGAAAAAGTGTAACAGACATTTTTCTCTGTAGTAATGATACTGGCTACCTGAGTATTCACAAGCTCAGAACAAATTTGTATTTAATAGTAAAATAAAATTCAAGAAAAAGTTTTCTTCCTTTACTACCATAAGGGACAGGTTCTTCCAAGAACAAGATAGGAAAGTTGGAACAGATTACAACCGCTCTCCTGCCTTTAAAGTGCTAAACTCTGCTTGGTTCTACAGCAATAGGTAACATGCTGACATTAGAAATATATATATGAAAGCTTTACAACTGCTTAAGGGATTCTGTAAGCATATTATGTGGGAGTTTTGTGGTTTGTTTGTTAAATAGGGGTTCTAGCCAATACTTAACAATTTTCTACTCCTTCATGATTTATCTACAAACAGTCCAAAAGTCAAAGTGCTAAGTCCCCTATTTAGATTCCCCAGGACCAACAGCTCTTCTCCAAAGCAAGATGCAGGCTCAGAATTTAGTTATTTATTGCTGATTATATCAACTATTATAAGTACTCTTAAAGAAGTATAAGACTAAACAGGCTCTCCTCTGTTTGAATTCTAGGCAACATCAGAACATGTGCAAATTCATGCTAAAGTAGGCATCTAAAGTAAATTGGGTCAATCATACTTTGAAATGTCTCTACATTGGACAGCTGAGATAGATTGCCTTTGTAGTCCAAGTAGCTATCTGAAGATTAATTTCACCATATCAACATAATTAAGACTCCATGAATTGCCAGCTCCTTGGTCATTCAAGGTAAACGTTATTCAAGGTTAAAGTACATATCACTTCAACCTGTTATATATTAAGACACTCTACTGAACATAACCAGGTACCCTAACTAGTACTACAGTCTGATTTTCTCTAAATTGGAAAGAAAGCTTTGAAAAGTCAGTCAGCTAATAAAAAGAAATAAATGGAAACGAGATTAACATAAGCTGCTCTGGAGCCCTTCAAAAGAAGCACCCAGGATTCAAGCACCACACAATCATTTTCGGAGTATTTTCAAACTGAATATGCAGATAACCTTAACTAAGGGAAAGCCTAGAAGGCATTTATACGAACACTCAAAAGTGAAGATGATGACAGAGAATGCAGCAAAGCATTACTGTTAGGTGACCAACAGGCCAACTATAATGCAGACATTAATTAAAAAGAGATGTGATTCGGTGAGCAGCTTAAGCATATTAAGTACCAGGCTACGTATAATTACTTAGGAGGTTAGAGACATTTTTCAAATAAGTGCACATATTAATTTCAATTACTCTAACTGTATCGTAACTAGGCTAACATTTTAAATTTACCAGATGAAGACATTAATTTTTCTGTTAAATACTTCCAAATTACTTACACATGTAACAGTGTGCAATTGTAGTAAGAACAGCAAATAAAAAATGACCTTATTCTTACATGCTGTTTATTTCATAGCTGAATGTTTTCTGAAGAAAACCATATTTAAAAAGATACTAGCAAGCCAAAAGAATTTAAACTGTCCACCCCCTTCCCAAACAGTAGCTATTGGCTATGACTGGTAACTATCTCCAATTGACTGTTTTCACATTTTGTTCTACTCCAGCAGAACAACTGCAGATCTACCGTTTTACAACAAACACCAGTTTTATAACAAAAGCAGCGGCAGCATTACTCAGATGTACATAGAATCATAGAATGCTTTAGGTTGGAAGGGACCTTGAGAGATCATCGAGCCCGACCCCCCTGCAGTAAGCAGGGATTGAACCTGTGAACTTGGCGTTATTAGCACCATGCTCTAACCAACTGAGCTAACCCAGCTGGTCAATGTATACTGTTCCTCCAACTATGAAATTCTGTAAAAAAAGAAGTTAATCTGATTATTCAAGTTATTTTATGCCACAGAATGAACTGTAATAAAGTTAATATGAAGTGGTTTAATCATACATTTAAAAATCCTACAAGACAAACTTACACTTTGTCTTGCCGTCCTCCACCTCCACGCAGTGCAACTGGCTGGCTGTTTTGAGTGAACGCACCTCCACCACGAATTGCACTTGGATGAGTTGGAGAAGCTGCTGGATGCTGACCAGGACGGATAGGCTTAGCTGCATGAAAAGAAACATGACTTAAAAACATATACATGACAATTTTACCTTTGATTATTCAAATTTACTAATGCTTTATTTTACAGTATCCCAAATGTAATAATCAAAATTGAACACACTTTGAATAAGAAAGCATGCTTAGGAGATGGTGTTCTGAGAACCTAACAGACTAGTATCAACTATAACAAGCCTTGAAAAATAGACAAGGTTTTGCTTTTATTGTCCCTAATAGAATTAAAGCTAGCAAAGCTTTTGATAATTATCTTCACATGTATTATCTGCCCCACTTAATGCATTTCCATGTAACAGTCCTATTTCTTGGCAATAAGAACTCAAATAAGACACATCGCTAGGCAAAGTTTCATGAGGGTTATGTTCCTGTAAGGAATCATTATACCTTGCTGTATTTCCCACATCTACTTGATCGATAAGCCACTAGCTACTCTGCTCTGCAAGTGGTCCTGTGTACCGATTACTCCACAGGTAACATTGCTTCATCAACTCCTTGCCACCATATAAAAATAAAACTTCCTGTTACTGAATTCAAAAACAGTAGTTTTGACAGGTAATTCACAAGCTGCATACACTTTGATAAACAAACTATATTTTCAATGAATTTTGCGCTAGCTCTTAACAGGACATGCACAACAGTATGACTTTACAAAGTTCTGTAATATTGAACAGAAGCATTTAAAGTTGCAGCAGGTAGCAGTGGATATAAAGTACCTACAGGTAGCAACTGCATCAGAGAAAAACTTCTCAGTTTCTGCCTTATAGGAAGCTGATCTCCAGTAAGACATGCCTAGTCCAACTAGACATTTAAGAACAAGAGGCTTTATATTTGTGGTAAGCTCACTAGAGAATTCTGTTTGTCTTCTTGGAGATCACTCAAGAGAAAGATAAGACAGGAAAGCACCTGTCTTCAAGCCACCACTTGAAGTGACCAAGAAAAAAATTAAAGCTTTATTCTGCAACAGCTCTTTGCAGACCTACAGAATACGAGCAAAATTTAACTGCAATGCTCATTTCAGTTGCATTAACATTTAAGAGAAGTGTATTGATTACTGAAGTCCTGACACAGGACAACAAAAAGGCTAGAACACATAGTTACTTCTATGACAATAATGTAATAGGCACAGTTAAGGTCTCCACAGGTCACACGCTCTCGGCCCTCAGCACTTTACAGCATAATGGCACGTGGAGAACCAAGGGAATACGACTGCCTTTCCACCACACAGTAAGAAACACTACTAGCTGCTACAGATTTCTGCTTTTTCCATTCTCTTCCCCTAAGGAAGGCTATGGGATACTATGTGTTTTGGAACAAAGAACCCAAAAGGCAATTAGGGATCTTAGGATGTTAGTTGGGGGTTTCTGCCTGTCCCACTCCCACAAGATCAGGAGACCAGAAGAGTGTTTTGTTGTTGTTGTTTAAGGCGACGGCTTAATCTCTCTCCTTACTTTGGAATACCTACATAGTCTTAGAAATTCTTATGGAATCATGTCAAAGACCTAAGACTCACATTGAGTGTATTGTTTTGTTCCAGGAAAGCCTTTCGTAGCATGTGTAAAAATTCAGCTACCAGGAAGAGACTAATTTAAAAAAAATAAAAAAAAAAAACAGCCAACCATACACCACCACTCCCACACACTTACAGTCTATTAACCAAAATATAACTCATGGTAGAAAATACACCATATTCACACATGCAGTTCCAACTAGGGCTGAAAGATGCATACGTGCACAAAGAGAAAAAAAAAAAATCAGGAGACAGATGAAGCTTTACGGGGCAAGGGATTCTTTACTAACCAATTTGTGCAGAATGTCCTCTTCTAGCCATATTCTTGGATCTTACAGCTTCCTTTATACGATCTACTTCTTGCTGATACCGTTTGCGATCACGAGAAGCATTCTCTTTGGCTTCCTTCAGTGCAGACTCCAAAGCTTTAACTCGTTCAGCTGTAGCTCTAAGTCGCTTCTCCAGTTTAGGAAGTTCACAGCGAAGATCTGCATTATCACGTACCAGCTACAAAACCAGAATCAATTATTTTCTTGGTATCTCTTTTCATGGAGAGAGCCAACCAAACGTCCTCCCGCCCCAACCAGGCAAAGCAGCAGGGCTACTACATTATCTTTACTTAAGCTTTTAGTAAATCTAATAATCCATCAGTAAAACTGTCATTTGAATATCAGTTACTGTGGAAGAACATGCTACCCAACATTGGCACTTAAAGTCTACATTTTTTCAGTCACAGAGAGACAGGCAAGCATCCCCCAGACTGATATACTAACTCTAAACACTAACGTGGATGTTCTTCAATTTAAATGCAGCTATGTTGTTACATACCCACATGCACTTAAAATAGCTATTAATTTACTTTATAGGAAAACTTTAGTCTACTGTTTTGTACCAAGAGACACACTTAAAATATAGAAGTATTTAATTATAAAACAGTTACTATATGACCAATACGCATTCAGTCACTTCTATAATAATGCACCTTAAGTAGTTTGGTTTTAATTAAAACTTGAAATTAAACCTCATTGTACCTGCTTGTGAACCTTTGTAAGCTGTTCAAGGTTATTCTCAAGGAAGGAAATCTTCTGTTTTTGTGCAGCACTGCCTCCTGTATCATCCGAGTCAATCTCAGCACTCTGCAGTAACGAAGGCACGGGGAAGGAGAGAGGAGGCTGAGTACAAATCTGAACTTGCATATTAAGATCAAGCCAGAAAAGTTATACCACATAAAGATCAATTCCTGATTTAGTTCTAAACTGAAATTTATGCAGCATTCTCAGAAACTCAAAGTTTCACTACAGCACCACATTACCTTTTTCACTCTAGTAGCCAGATCTTGAACAAACAGCTTCCGAAGATTGTGGAGAGTCTGAAGTTCTTTTGCCTACAGTTAAGGACAAGGAATTAAAAACTAAAAAAACAAAAAGTATTAAAAAAGTAACTCTGAATGGCGGGGGG